GGGGTGGCTTGGGGGGGAGGGGGGCGGGGGGGGGGGGGGTAGTGCTGGTGGAAAATGTGTTTCAGTGACTTGGGAGACCTCAGGTCTAGCTCTGGCTCTGCCACTTAGGGGTTTGACCTTGGATCAGTGACCTCTTTCCTTTAGCCTCAGTTTCCCTATCTGGGAAAAGGGTATAATAAGCTTTACCCTTCCTACCTCCCTGGGTTTTGTGGGACTCAGAGGTGACCATTATCATATTGGTGATGTGATTGGAGGGCTTAGCTAAAGGTTATCTCAGAGCAAAAGGCGATTTGGACCAAATGTGGTTAAGGATGTCAAAGTGAAATTGATAACTGACAGGTCCTCTTAACTGAGCTCCACTCTGTGCCCCAGGCTCTGCTAAGCTCCCAACTTTATCTCATCACAGTAGCCTGTTGAGTCAGATGGGACTAGCCCTGGACTGCAAGCACCAAGGCCCTGCGGCCCGGGAAGAAGGCAGTCACATTTCCAGCACTTGGCAGAGCCTCAGCCCAGACTCAGAAATGTGTGACCCTTGACCCCCCAGGTCCTGGCCTCCTGGAGCCACATCTGCGGTGGTGGTGCCCTTGCCCTTCTGGTGAGCCACACGGTGCCCGCACGGGAAGGCCGCCTCTCAGGCTCCAGTGGGGTCTCCTCAGACTTTCTGCCTTTGTTCCTTTCAAACAGTGATTCTCCAAATGTTCTGAACCCAGAGGCAGAGCCGTCCGGAAGACTCGCTGTGAATTCTGAGTGGATCCTAGATCACTTAAAGTCTCTCCTTTCTTCTTCCCCCGTAATCTGAAAAGACACCCAACAAGTTCACCTTTCGGTTTAAATTTGGCCGATGTCTTTAGTCTCCCCATGTCTCAAATTATGAATCCCGAGCACCCGCTGTTGGCTCTTTCATGCATAACGGAAAAGCCGGAAGAACAAAGGCACCTTTCAGACTTGATGTGACCTTCAGCTTTGCTGGTGGACGTTGGGGGTCTTCTCTCCCAGGGGGAGATACCATCCCCATTAAATCTCTCCAAGGACTGCCCACAGACTCGGATAGGGAATCTGGGGAAATCCTGTGCCCTCGGTGCTGGCGTGGGGTTGGGGCTGGTTTGGGGTCTGGTCTGCCCCCGGCCTGCCTCCCCTGGCCATCTGTTGCGTCGGGATCACAACAGGTGGCCTGTTTGTTTATTAGGGAGTGAGCCTTTCTCCTTTGCTTACTACATGCCACTCTGTTAGGTTCTTTATACCTAACGTCAGCGTCCTGGCAACCATGCTCCGAGGCGGATGGTCCTAGTCTTATGTTGAAGGTGGGACGACTGAGCGTCAGGGAGGATCACAGCCCGTAAGGGGTGGACCTGGGATTCCAGCCCCAGTCCGCCTGACTCCAGCACTTATTTCCATGGCATCACCCACCCTGTGGAGTGAAGGGCAAATCCCAGTTGAGCTGCCCATGCCCTACCCTGCTCTGCCAGCAGCCCAGCAATGGACAGCCTCTGCCACAGGACAGGCAGGAGATGCTGACCAGTGGGTGTCTCCACGGGAGGTTGTCAGGCCTAGGCCAGGCTAGGTACCGGGGGCAGGGGCTGTCCCATAGACTCAGGTCCCTCCCACCTCTCCCCAGGTGGCTGCCCTTTGGGGCTGCTGCTCTGGACTTGCCCAAGTTAGGACTCAGCAGGGTGTGTCCCATCACATCAGGGCCCTGTCTTGCCCCAGTAGGCGCTGCCCAGCCTATGGGGTACAGGGTGGGAGGGGGCCCCTGAGTGAGTTTGGAGCCGACTCGGTGTGTTACCGGTGGTGAATGCCCCCTCAGAGGGGCCAGGAGGGAGGGGAGCACCACAGCATCTGCACACGCCAGCTGGTTTAAGCTGCTGCAGCGACTCTGCTAGTAGGCAGTCCTAGTCCATTTTAGAGGCAGTGAAACTGAAGCCCCTGGAGCTAACGCAGGCCTGGGATTCAAAGCCTGTGTTCTCTGTCCTGGGGTGGCCCTGCCTCTTGGCAGGGCATGTGAAACGTTGGGACATCACAATGATCTTGCTTAGGAGCTTCTGAGGGCGCACAGAATAGCCTTAGCCAGGAGCCTAGTACCCAGATGCTGGATCAGGTTGGTGCCTTTCCTTCTAGCCTGGACAGGTGTAAGCCATGTCACAAGATCTTGTTGCCAAGCAACAATTCTGACTATACCTGCCGAGCCCCTGCATGAGGTGGGGCTGCAGAGGTCTGGCTTGATTTCTTCAGAGTCCAGGGGTTGCAGGTCATGGTGCCCTGGACAGTTCCTGGGCATGGGCTAGGTGTGCACCACACCAGGGGGACATTGGGAGCCAGGGTTGAGGAAGCCAGGGGGGATGTTCCGCTGGGCCTTGGGGGGCAGAAAGGTTGATGTCTGCCTTTGCTAGC